TAATGGTTCAATGTCAACTTGCAAAGCAGTCTCTAGTGAAGGGGTGGGGAATCTGTGGACCCAAGGCCACATGTGGCCTTCTAGGTCCTCAAGTGCAGCTCATTGACTTGAATCCAGATGTCACAGAATAAATCCCCTTAATAAAAGGATCTGTTCTATAAAACTTGGACTCAGTCAAAAGGCCTCACACAAGACCTAGAGGCCACATGTGGCCTTGAGGCTGCAGGTTCCCCACCCCTGCTTTAGTGGATTGACTCAGGTACCTGCACTAGGTCCTGTGCAGTTTAACATATTGATCAATAACTAAGAAAGGCAACATGTCATGCTTACTGAATGAGTGATGAAACAAAGCTACAAGGGATAACTTACATGTTGGATGATAGATTTAGGATTGTAAAGTCCTTAACACAGTGCTTGGCACATAGTAAGCACTATATAAATGTTAGCTATTATTTTAAAAGATCTCAACTGGCTGGAATATTGGATTGAACCCAAGAAGATTAACTGGGAGAAGCATAAAGTCTTATATCTTGGTTCAAAAACCCAATTTCCTAAACATAAGATAAGGAAGGTAAAGCTAGAGAGGCGTTTGTATGAAAAAGATCTGGGGATTCAAAAGACAAAGAGAAAAGAGATCCAGACATGCAAAAAAAAATTCACATCTACTCTTTTTGTAGTGGCAAAGACATGGAAACTATAAGGCCATCAATTAGAGAATGGCAGAACGTGTCATGGTGTATGAATGGAACAGCAGTGTGCCATAAGAAATGACATAAGAGATGGGCTCAGAGAAACCTGGGAAGACTTGTATGAAATGATACAGAATAAAGTAAAAAGAATAGAAAAACAATTTACTTTTGATAACAACATTGTAAAGACAAACAATACTGAAAACCTTAACTTGGCAGTGCATTGCAATGACTAACTACAATTGTGGAGGACCAGTAATGAAGCAGGCTAACTACCTCATGTCAAAGAGGTGATAGAATTAAGATGCAAAATGAGATGTACAATTTGGGACACAGACACTGTAGGAATGGAAGTGAGAGGGAGAAAAAAACGCTGACTAATCAAAAAATTCTAAAAACCCTGAACCCAAAACAAAACAGTTAGCATTTACAGTACAAACATTTGCATAGAGCTTTAAAATTTGCAAAGCACTTTATATGTTATCTTATTTAATCCTCACAACAACCCTGTGATGAGGAAACTGAGGCTCAAAGAAGTTAAATGATATGACCAGGATCACACAGTCAGTCAGTACAGGGAGAGGCAGGACTTGAACACACATTTTCCCTGACTCCAAGTCCAGCACTCTACGCACTGAGACATCTAGCTGACAGCTTAACAAACAAAAAATACAAAACAAAACCAAAAAATGATCTGGGTGTTTTTAGTTCATTGCAAACTGAATATATGTTAATAGCAGCACCCCAGAAACCTCATCATGATTTAGAGGTAACCCTGGTTTCTTTCTGTTCTTCTTTTTTTTTTTTTGGGTGAGGCAATTGGGGTTAAGTGACATGCCCAGAGTCACACAGCTAGTGAGTGTTATGTGTCTGAGGCTGGATTTGAATTCAGGTCCTCCTGACTCCAGGGCTAGTGCTCTATCCTCATAACCCTGGTTTCTTGAAGACTATGTTAGTGGTGAGCAAAGCTCTGGCACCACAGGCCGTGACTATCCCATGCTATGCACAAGGGACTGTAGGCCCAGGGTTGGGGATGGAGTGCCTTGTTTGAGAAATAGCAAGGAAGCCAGTGTCACGGAATTGCAGTGTATATGCAGGATGAAGGTAGTAGGGGAGTATAACGTATACAACTGGAAAGGTGAATGGGGGGTGGGCAGGATTATAAAGGACTTTGAATACCAAACAGAGGAGGTGATATTGCTTCTGGAGGTGATATTAACTTTAGCAGAAGTTGACTGAGCAGTGAGGTGATATGACTGGACCTGTGCTTTAAGAAAATCACTTTGGAGTCTGAGTGGAAGATGGGCTGGAGATTTTTCCCAAGGAGGACAATCAGGATGGAGAAGGTACAATACCATAAGACTGGCTGAAATCTGATGATGTTTAGTCTGGAGAAAATTTGGCAGGGGGGAGGGAAAAGGAAAAGCACAGGAGAGATAGAGAGACAGAGTGGTCATGTTAAGTATCTTCAAGTACATGAATGACCATAACACATTAAGAGAGATTAGACCATTTCTGCTTGCATTACAGGGCAAATCTAGGGACAATCGCTGGGAGTTTTAAAGAAAGAGATTTAGAAATGTTCTAAATTAATACTGATTAGAGAAAGGCAAATGAAAACAACTCTAAAACAATCTATCAGACTGACTAACATTATAGAAAATGAAAATGACAAAGGCTGGAGAGGACAGGGAAAAATAGAGACACTAATGTGGAGCTGTGAATTGGTCCAACCATTCTGGAGAACAATTTGGAATTATGCCCAAAGTGCTATGAAAATGTACATAAAATACTCCTTGGCCCAGCAATATAACTACTAAGTCAGTATTCCAAAGAGGTCAAAGAAAAAGGAAAAGGTCCTATAGGTATAAAAATATTTACAGAACCCCTTTCTGTGGTGGCAAGGAATTGGAAATTGAGAGGATGTCCATCAATTGAGGAATGGTTGAACAAGATGTGGTACATGATTGTGATGAAATATTACTGTGCTATAAGAAATGGAGAGGGGGGTGACTTCAGAAAAATCTGGGAGGACTTATATGAACTGATGCAGAGTGAAGTGAGCAGAACCAGGACATCATTTTATACAGTAACAGCAATATTGTAATGATGATCAACTGTGAAAGACTTAGCTACTCTGACTAATACAAAGGTCCAAGATGATTCTGAAGAAATCATGATGAAAAATATTATTCACTTCCAGAGAGAGAGAACTGATGAATTCTGATTGCAAATTGAAGTACAATTTTTTTCATTTTATTTTTCTTGCCTTTTTTTGTGACATGGTTAATATGAAGATATTTTACATGATTTCACAGGTATAATCGATATCATTGTTTACCTTCTCAGTAGGTGGGGGAGGGGCTGGTGAAAGAGAATTTGGAACTCAAATTAAAAAAAGAATGTTGGAAATTTAAAAAAAAAGATTTTTTTTAAGCAAAAGGAAATTTAGGAAAAACTTCTTAATAATTAGAGCTACCCAAAAAGAGAACGGACTGCTTCAGAGGCAATGGGATGAATAATTATTGGTTATTTTTACAGGGGCAATTCTTTTTCAGGTATTAGTTGGTTTAAATTACTTCAAATCCCTTCATTCTGAGATTCTTTGATATTCATGGAGTCAGAGGATCTGCAAAGTAGATGCACAAATTTCCACAATATTAAACTGTTAGGGTTATCTCCCAGAGGTTTTGTGTACTTCTGTTCCTGCCCATTCTGGACTATGAAAAGTGCAGGCCGCTACATAGGTTAAGGAGAAAATGTCCAATTGTCCTCATCTGCTTCTGACACTGATGCCTCATCACAGCATGGAAGTGTTTCTATTTTCTCAAAAACTCTGTCAGTAGAGAGAAAGATCTGGCAGATTCTCCCAAGTTCATGATGCTTCCAATAAGGGCCCTGTACTGAATGCTTATCTGTTTCATATAGATCAACCTGGCTAAATCTGCAGGAACTCAATAGCAGATTAGTTGTATGGTGATGAAATTCTTGGTCAAAGCAAATCATGAAGACCACCTATGAAAGCACAGAGGGCTTACGATCTACAAAGGAAGTATCCATACTGAAGAAAGAAAAAAATCTTAATGGGTAGTTTTCTTCAATAGGAAAAAAAGTCTCCTTCCCACTCCTCAATTCTGAAAGTGGAAAAGAAGCAAGTCAAATGTAGCATTTCAGGTATTATATGTGTGGAGGCCCTACTTACCCTTCTGGATGATCTGCTGTGCTTGCTTCCTCACACGTGTGTTTCGTAGAAACCGCCACTCTCGCTCTTTTCGGATTTGGCTCTCTAGGTCATGTTCTTCTGGGATCTTTGAACAACAACAACAACAAAAGATGAAATCAAGCTCTGTGGCCTGAAAGAACATTTGAAAAAAAGTCTTTTTCTTCATGTTTTCCTTAAATGCTAAAATAAATGATGGAGTTGGTCTGGAGAAAAATGGCATTTTGGTCAGGGCCAAATGTCTTTTGATGTGTAAAAATAGACAGCCAGAATAAAGAGCATTTAAAGGGCTTCCCATTTTTAAGTCCTGTGATTAAGTGGCTAATAGTTGGAGAGCCATTATATTGCAATGTATATCCAAAATGGAGAAAGAAGAAAGTATATATGTGGACAGCTTGACAGGGCTCCTGGGGTAGGGCCTACAGTTGGTGGGTGGAGGCAGTGGGAAGTTTAATGGACTTTGTACTGAGAAGAATGGATTGAAATTCCAGCCTTGACTCTTAACTTTCTGTATAACACTGAGCAAGCCATTTCACCTTCTGGTTGAGAACTGTCTCAATTACGGATAATCATATTTGTACTATCTACTTTCCAAGGTAAATATTTTATAAACCTAAAGTGCTTTACAAATATGAGTTGTCATCATTGCCAACATCATTATTAACTCTTCTCATCTTTTTGAGGGGTTCAGATATAAATGGCAAAGGAGAAGTCATTGCTATTATTATTTTGCTATTATTCTTTTATATTTGATTTTTGGGGGAGACTATTGTACAGCTGGATAAAATACCTACTTTTGAAACTGAGAGAGTGCTAGGGCAGCTAGGTGGCACAGTGGATAGAGTGCTGGGCCTGGAGTCAAGGAGGCTCATCTTCCTGAGTTCAAATCTGATCTCAGACATTTACTAGCTGGGCAAATCACTGAACCCTGTTTGCTTGGTTTCCTAATCTGTAAAATGAGCTGGAGAAGGAAACGGCAAGCCACTCTAGGATTTTTGACAAGAAAATTCCAAATGGGGTCACAAAAAGTCAAACATGACTGAAAAACAACAATAACAACAACTAAAATGTTAGGATTTTTTTTTTTGCAGGTTCTCTGAACGCTTCTTTGGGAAGAACTCTAGTAACATATAGGACACCAGTGATGACATATGATCCGGTTTCTACATACATGACTTTAATCTTGTCCTGTAGGTCTCCATAGTTTGAGAGCTTTTCCTTCCATGCTGTTTGGAGATTATATGTATTCAGCATGATGATATCTATTAAAAATGTTTTTAAAATTTTGTGGACCATATCATGTTTGTGATATACTTCATAATAGTCTGGTGCTAGTACAGTTTATTTGCTAAATTCTTAAGGATATTTAGAGGTTTACATGCATAGTTCAAGGACTTGTTATCTATTAGCTTATAAAGAACTGGGGGCTTCTGGAGTATAATTCCAACCACCAGATTGTCTCTAAGTATTGTTAGATGCTAAATTTTTGTAACTTGCAGTGATATACTGCAGAGTTTCTAGTATTTTACCGCATAATCTGTATCAGTGATGATAATGTGATGATTAGTGCTGGTGTAGAGTGGGTGAGAAAAGTGGTGTATGGTACAGGCTGTAGAAGAGCATGAAGTGGAGAGGAATGAAAGGTTGGGGGTGAGGCAAAAGGTATCCTTCACTTCTCTCTTCTTGAGGAGTCACCTTTGCTACTGGTTTGCTACCTCTTCTCAGCTTTCCCTTTACACCTATTTCACTTCGCAAAATGCCAAACTGGATTCAACAAGGCATTCTACTTCTATTGGACACAAGGGAGGTTATTTCCAGGAAAGTTATCAAGGACATCTCTCAATATTGAGCCAGCTTATTATCTATTTCCTTGTTTCCCCCTTAAACCAAAGGTAACTTGGGTAAGATCCTAGTTCTCTGGTGCAGAGCAAAGTAAGCATGCTATCCATCTCTTGACAGAGAAGTAATAGACACAAGGTGCAGAATGAGGCATACATGTTTTGTATGACTATGCATATTTTTTACAAAGGGTCCTCCCCTCCACTGGGGGTGGAGGAAGTGGAGAGAGAAAAATAAATGATTATTAAGTGAAAATATTAACTAATTTTAAAAAAACCCACTCTACTTCTCTAAACATATAAGAATAAGAATTAGTCTGATATAAACCAGCTCTAAGTGTTTTGTCTAGATTCCCTTGGTCAGCATGCATGGGTTGCAGAAATGTTCTGTGCTACCACATCAGAGCTTCTATGCATCCCAACTAAGGCACAGCCAAACAGTACTCAAACTTTTGAATAAGGTTCTGAGAGTTAGTGGTAATGCTATGGAATCAATAGGCCTACCTCTGAGGTTGACAATCAACTACAAAGCATTCTTATAACAAATTATTTGGGCTCTTAGCAAAAGTGGAAAGGTAAAGGATCAGAACCATGGGTGTATTTTCTGCATCTATCTCTCCATGCAATAGTGTTATATTAAATATACACATATGTACCTAGTGGAGGAATGGATATATTTTCTATTTTCAGAAATGAAAATATAAGATATTAGGAAGGAGGACAGCTTAAAGTTGTGCTTGTCTACTTTATATGCCAAAGGAATCAGAGTTATCAAGTTTAGAGAAAATAAGACAATAGTGAATTTCAAAAATTCGCTGTGGTATAATAATAGAAAACTGTTGTTTTCCTTTCCCTACATTACATCAAGAAATCTTGGGTTAGATACTCATAAACTAAAACTGGATATTAAAATGTTATTGAACTTGCGTTCAAAGCCTATATCTGGTACAGATACTAGATGTATAACCAAGGGTAAGTCACTCACTTACCTTCTCTGAGCATCAGTTTTGTTATCTGTAAAATGGGGATAATAAAATCTATAGTAGGTACTATATCCCAGCATTGTTACAAGGCTGAAATGAGCTAATGCATATAAAGTGCTTTGGAAATCTTAAAGTGCTACATAAATGGCACTTATTGTCAACAACAACAACAAGGATGCTGGAAATGGATATTTCTGTTGATACGAAGTTTGGAAAATTGTTATTTGCTAAAGCTCTAAGAAGCCTTATATGCTGTTCAAATTCAGTTCTGGGTTATTTGGATTAAGGTCAGTGTTTCCTCCCTACTACAGATCCAACTCATGGGTGATTAAGCTCATCTCCAGAGGAAAAACATAGCTTGAGACAGAATGTTCAAAACTACCTTATTTTTTTTTGTTAGCTTTTATTTAGTATTCTATTTTTTCCCAGTTACATGTAAAAACAATTTTAACATTCATTTTTAAAACTTTGAATTCCAAATTCTCTCCCTTCTTCCCTCCCCACTCCATCACACTGAGAAGGCAGGCAATTTGATGTAGGTTATACATGTATAGTCATGAAAAACATATCCTTAACAGTCATGTTGTGAAAGAAAACATAGATCAAAACAAAAAAAAACCCACAAGAAAAATAAAGAATGTAAAAAAAATTATGCTTCAATCTGTATTCAGATGGTATCAACTATTTCTCTGGGGAGAAATAACATTTTTCATCATAAGTCCTTCGGAATTGCCTTGGATCACTGTATTGCTAAGAATAGCTGAGTCATTCACAGCTGATCATCTCACAATATTGCTGTTACTTTGTATACTGTATATTTCACTCTGCATCAGCCCATGCAAGTCTTTCCAGGTTTTTCTGAAAGCATCTTGCTCATCATTTCTTAGAGTACAACAGTATTCCACCATAATCACATACCACAACTTATTCAGCCATTCCCCAATTGATGGGCATCCCCTCAACTTCTAATTCTTTACCTCCAGAAAAGAGATATTATAAATATTTTTTGTACATATAGGTCCTTTTCCTTCCTTCCTTCCTTCCTTTCTTCCTTCTTTCCTTCCTTCCTTCCTTCCTTCCTTCCTTCCTTCCTTCCTTCCTTCCTTCCTTCCTTCCTTCCTCCCCTCCCTCCCTCCCTCTCTCTCTCTCTCTCTCTCTCTCTCTCTCTCTCTCTCTCTCTCTCTCTCTCTCTCTCTCTCTCTCTCTCTCTCTCTTTCTGTAATCTCTTTTGGGATACAGACCTAGTAGTGGTATTGCTAGGTCAAAGTGTATTCATGGTTTTATAGCCCTTTGGACCTAGTTCCCAATTACTCTGCAGTGCATGAAAGTCTCATTTTTCCTACATCCCCTCCAACATTTGTCATTTACTTTTTCTGTCTCATTAGCCAGTCTAATAGGTATAAGTCAGTACTTCAGAACTGTTTTAATTTACATTTCTCCAAACAATTGTGAGTTAGAGTATTTTTTCATATGGCTATAGATAGTTTTGATTGCTTCATCTGAAAATGGATCATATCTTTGGATCATTTATCAATTGGGGAATGGCACTTATTTTTATAAATGTGACTCAGTTCACTATATGTTTGAGAAATGAGACCTTTATCAGAGAAACTTGCCTCAATTTTTTTTTCGCAGTTACTATTACTAACTGTATTTCCCTCCATCTTATTTCTTCTCACCTTGTTTATTCTACACTCTCTCTTCTTTCACTTTGTCCCTCCTCAAAGTGTTTTGCTTCTGAATACCCCCTCCCCCAATCTGCCCTCCCTTTTATCATTCCCTCACCTTCTCTTATCCCTTCCTCTCCTACCTTCCTGTAGGGTAAGACAGATTTCTACACCCAATTGAATATGTATGTCATTCCCTCTTTGAGCCAATTCTGATGACAGTAAGGTTCACTCACTCCCCTTCACTTCCCCCTTCTTCCCCTCCATTGTAAAAGCTTTTTCTTGCCTATTTTATGTGAGATAATTTACCGCATTCTACCTTTTCCTTTCTCCTTTTCCTAGTGCATTCCTCTCTCATCCCTTATTTTATTTTTTACATATCATCCCTTCATATTCAACTCACACCTGTGCCCTCTGTCTATATATACTACTTCTAACTACCCTAATAATAAGAAAAATCTTATGAGTTACAAATATCATCTTCCCATGTAGGAATGTAAATAGTTCAAAATTATTAAATGCCAAAGGTCAAATTTTCTATTCAGCTCTGCTCTTTAGACTGCTTGAAAATCCTTTATCTCATTGAATGTCCATTTCCCCCCCTGAAAAACTATACTCAGTTTTACTGGGTAGGTGATTCTTGGTTGTAATCCTAGCTCCTTTGCCCTCTAGAATATCATTTTCCAAGCCTTCTGATACATTAATGTAGAAGCTGCTGATACTTGAATTGTTTCTTTCTGATTGCTTATAATATTTTCTCTTTGACCTGAGAACTCTGGAATTTGGCTATTATTATAGCCTGGTAGTTTTCATTTTGGGATCTCTTTCAGGAGGTGATGGGTGGATTCTTTCAATTTCTATTTTACCCTCTGGTTCTAGAATATCAGGGTAGTTTTCCTTGATAATTTTTTGATCATGGCTTTCAGGGAATCCAATAATTTTAAAATTATCTCTCCTGGACCTATTTTCCAGATTGGTTGCTTTTCCAATGAGATATTTCACATTGTCTTCTATTTTTTCATTCTTTTGGTTTTGTTTTATTGTTTCTTGATTTCTCATAAGGTCATTAGCTTCCATTTGCTCCATTCTAATTTTTTTTTTTAGGCAATTGGGGGTTAAATGACTTGCCCAGGGTCACACAGCTAGTAAGTGTCCATTCTAATTTTTAAGGGATTATTTTCTTCAGTGAGCTTTTGGACCTCCTTTTCCATTTGGCAAATTCTGCTTTTTAAGGCATTCTTCTCTTCATTGGTTTTTTTGGACCGCTTTTACCATTTGGTGTAGTCTGTTTTTTAAGGTGTTATTTTCTTCAATATTTTTATGTGTCTCCTTTACCAAGCTATTGACTTGTTTGTCATGATTCTCTTGCATCACTCTCATTTCTCTTCCCAGTTTTTCCTCTACTTCTCTTACTTGATTTTCAAAATCCTTTTTGAGCTCTTCCATGGCCTGAGACCAATTCATATTTTTCTTGGAGGCTTTGGATGTAGGAACTTTGACTTTATCTTCTTCTGAGTGTGTGTTTTGATCTTCCTTGTCACCATAAAATCTTTCTACAGTCAGAGGTTTTGTTTTTTTTTCTGTTGTTTGCTCATTTTGTCAGCCTGTTACTTGACTTTTAACTGTTTGTTAAAGTAGGGCTCTGCTTTCAGAGTGGAGGGTGCCCTGTTCCAAATTTCAGGGACAGTGCAGCTGTTTTCAGAGATACTTCTAGGGACCTGTAAGTTTTCAGTTCTTCCAAGGTGGTACAATCAAGGGCGAGGTGTTTACTCCCTTCCTGGCCTGTGCTCTGGTCTGT